CACACACACACACGTGATGATGATGTTTTCGTTCTTGCTGAGTGGTGAGTGCATCCCTCTCCTCTCAGCTGATGTTGGAAGGTGGTGGTTTGGCATTGCTGAGGCAGGCTGAAACTTTGTTCCCGAGTTGTTCTGCTTCAAACTCTGTAATTTTGTTGTTGTGGATGCTTGATTCTGTGGCTGTGATCATCTCCACCAGAGGCACAACCGCAAAGTTCAGTCCCCTGGCAAAGATCTCTGTCTCCGGCTGGGTGAGCTGTCGGTCGGACAAATTCTTCACCCACTTTTCCGTCTCCCTGGCGTGTGACTGTCTCCCAGTGTGTTGTCTTCCACTGAATGTGTTATTGAGATGGGCTTGATGAGTTGCCAGTAATTTAACCTTCTTTTGTTATCGGCTTCCTTTTCAGGGACACCTCAGAGTCATTGCTTCAGGTATGTTGATGACATCAAATCTCAGGAAGTCCAATATTTCACTGATCACATCAACTCTGTGGACAGAGCAGATTTCAAAGAGAACAATTCATTCAACCTTTATTTAGACAGGTAAATCCCATTGAGCCTCGAGGACTCATTTACAAGAGAGACCTGATTTCAACAAAGAATGATGACAACATGACAACAATAGACTATTATAAAAAGGCATCCATTTTTTTTTTTGTTCATTGGTCTTAAGGAAGAGATCTTGATGAATTTCAATTGGGAAAATTTTGTAAATAAAGTGAAATGGTCAAAATTACAGACACTAAAAGTCCTGGCACATTATTTTCCATCGAGCCAAACATTTTGATGTTTGATGTTTGAAATAGCACAAAGCATGTAGAATTAGCTTAATTACATAAATACATATATATATAAAAAAAGTTAAAACTGACTCAGCGATCACGCAACAAATAAACCACGGCGACCAAACAATAAACCAAAGTAAAATGAAAGAACTCGGTTTCTGCTGCTGTCAAACATCCATCAACAAATCAAATTGAAACCTCTGCAGGAGATCATCCTTCTGCTGCTCAGAAAGATTAACAGCCGAATATCAGCTAATGAGATCTCAAGGTCAAACTGAGGAGGAACTTTCAGACGAGTGAAAAGTCGTTTTTTTAAAACCATCACAAAATATCAAAATATCTCCAATCACGAGATCCTTGGAAACTGGCTCACAAAGAAAACAGTCAAATGTGAGATCACAAAGGGTTAAAGTTTCATTTTAATTTATTTTCTATCCGTTTGCAGTTCGTGTCTATCCATTGCAACGTCTGATAAAACTGAAGAGACAGTTCCTTGTTCTTAAACAGACGTTGCAGTTTGGACCTGACTGAGTCTGACCGTGAGCCTGCTACATCACGGCTCCACACAGGTTAAAAAAAGAGATTGAGACTTTGTGAAGACAGCCGAGGTTAGTTGGAGGCCCTTAGTGGTCGCAGTAATCAGGAAGCTGAAAACAAGCGCCAATCAGTGTCGCCACTCAGAGCCTGGGAGGTCGATTCTCCACGGCGTGCTGCTCGAACAATCTGGGACAAAAAAATAAAAACAGACGAGTAAAGCTCCTGACGGGACTCATATCAGAGAAAAATCAGAGTTCCTGTGAAAACTCAGCCGCTCGAACACGTCGTCAGACTCTCCATCCAAGGACTGCTTCCTGAGGAGAACATCTCAGGACGAAAACGCAAAAACAGAAGAATTTTGAAGAAATTCTGAATCGAGCCGGCGCAGAGGTTTCAACGTCACTTTGTAGAAATCTAAAAGAATCAAAATGAAAAGAAATGTTTAAGCTGCTGCCAGGGGCTCATTAAGGTCACCATGGTAACCACACAGCTGCGTCTGCCATTCCCCGACTGCCAAGCAGACAGAAACATGGACTGAAAATAAACCTCAAACATACAGCTGCCGCGCAAAAACTACAAGTTAGATCTTCAAACCTCTTGAACCACGAGCAGCAGAAGGCTCCGACGGGCGCACGCAAAGATTTTTATGATTCTAAAACGTTTTATGCTTTAGCTGTGACACTTCACTTCCTGTTTTTAAAAAGCGTATTCTGAGCTAAAATATAACCGAAGCCTGTGCAAGCCTTGGTGTGCACTTTCTACAATTTGGGAGAAATCAAGAAAGGAAAAAAGAAGCTAAACCTAAAGTCGGCCTTTTTTTTGTGTTTTGCCAAAATTCCACTGATCTCCTGCCCCCGGTCCCAGATCCTGTTTGTGGTCTTTGTGGACAGGATCTCAAGGTGCAGTTGTGAAGCGGAGGGGGTCTGGTTGGAAACCTCGGAGTCTCCTCTCTGCTTTTTGCAGATGCTGCTGTTCTGTTGGCATCTTCAGACCATGACCTTTAACATGCAGTGAGGCGGTTCACAGCTGGGATTGGGGGTCGGCTCCTCAGTCTGAGGTTGGGATTCTCAACCAAAAAAGATGGAATGCTCCCTTCAAGTCAGAGATTCAGTTCAGTTTATTTCAATAGCACCAAGTCACAACAGAAGTCGTCTCAGGGCACTGTACAGAAACATTCACAGACATACAGTATATTTAAAAAAGGCACTGCTTTACCCCACAGGACTGGGGTAAGGCTTAGCAACAGTTTCCAGTTCCGCACCTCAATTGTTGAGGTAGGTGCCTTGAGCTGTGGTCTCAAGGTTGCTGGTGCTTCGTGAAGTGGCCGTCCTCAAACTCGATGGTGGACACTCCGGGTTAGGGAGGCTGTCAAGCTGAAGAAGGAGTCCTATCAGGCCTTGTTGGCTGGTGGGACTCTGGAGGCAGCTGAGGAGTACTGGAGGGCCAGGCGGTCCACAGCCTTGGCTGTTGTTGAGTCAAAAGTTGGGATGTGGGAGGAGTTCGGTGAAGCCCTGGATAAAGACTCTTGGTTGGCTCTGAGGAGATTCTGGCAAACCATCAGGCAGCTGAGGAGGGGAAAGCAGCTCTTTACTTAGACTGTGTTCAGTGAAGGTGGGGTGCTGTTGAATGTCATCAATAGGTGGAAGGAATACTTCTTGGACCTTCTCAATCTCACCAGCACGTCTTCCATGGAGGAAGCAGAGTCGCGGGTCTTTGGGGTTGGTCCGTCCATAACCTTGGCTGAAGTCGGTGAGGTACTTAAAAGTTCCATGGCAGCAGGGCTCTGGGGGTGGATGAGATTCTCTCTGATTTCCTTAAGGCTCTGGATGTTGGATCACCAGAGGATCTGTGTTTTGATCCTGTATGCTCCACACTGGTTTGTCGTCATTATCTGCATCGTTTTTATGTCTATGTTCTGATTGACCTAATTTTGTATTTTGCTTCGTGTGTTGTCTGTTGTTCTGTCTGTACAGCACTTTGTTGGCCTTGTCGCTGTTTTAAGCGCTCTTTAAATAAAATGTATGGTATTTTAACATGACGGACCTGCAGTACCACCTCCTGCCGTGCGGTGGCGCTAGCAGCCGGAAGTGGCTGCGCTGAAACGGAACTTATTCTGTTGATCGGATTCTACTTCCTGTTAGTGACAGTTCTCCAGTGTTCTCCATCAATTCTAGTGATTTTTTTCCGCTTCAACACATTCTTATGTTCGCTGCATCGGTTTTTATTACCCGACAAAGTTCTGTTCGCACTTTTACTCCGACTGCCGGGCCTGGAACAACGGGTTTGCCCGCGACCCGAACCCTGGACAGAGTTTGTTCGGTCCCGGAGTGCCTGCCTCCACGATGGCCAGTGCGAACGCTGGAAACGAGGAGGGAACCGGACCTGCGGCGGAGTCAAACGAGCACGACTACGCTCACGCTGTGGACGGTACCCTCACCGAACCGGACCCGTCGTTCTGCAGCCCGCTGCAGTCCTCCGCGCCTCCCCCGCAGGACCTGCAGCTTCCAGAACCGACCGTGTGTTCGGAGGTGGAGGTTCTGATAGAGCCCGAAGACCCGACTCCGGGCGCGGTGTCACCGCTCCGGGGCTCGCGGCGCCCCCGGGCCCCCGCCAAGAGGCCGGAGGACTGGAGCTGCACGTGCTGCCGGCTGCTGTTCCAGCGGCAGGGCCGCTCCTTCAACCGCAGGGCGGTGTACACCTTCACCACCCCGGACACCGTGCGCTGGCTCTTCCCGAGCTCTGACGTGAACGAGAAGTCGTTCCTGTGTGAGACCTGCGCCCAGGTGGTCCGATCCAAAGGGAAGCGCAAGCTGTGCGGGAAGAGGTCCATGTGGCTGAAGCCCCCGACCCCGAAAAAGGTCCGTAGGACCGGTACCACCAGGTACCGGCTAAGATCTGCCGAGCCTCGGAACAGGTCCAGATCTACTGGACCTGGCAGTGGTTCCCAACCCTGGTCCCTGAGGAACACCATGTTCTAGTTGTTTCCAGAGTCAGTGGTTTAATTACCTCCTCATGTTCTGCAGAAGCCTGTTAATCACCCGTTGATTAAAATCAGGAAACAACTAAAACATACAGGATGGTGTTCCTCAGGGACCAGGGTTGGGAACCCCTGTGTTAGAGTATAAAGGTCGTATCTTAGGTTTGTTTTCCTTTCGGCTGCTCCTTCAGGGGTCACCACAACAAACTCACTCACATGAAGACTTGGCGTTTGTTTGTACGCCAGATGTCCTTCATGACGCAACCACCGAGCTACCACAGCCCTCTGTGGAGCAGAGAGCTGCCGGGGGGAGCAGATGGTGGGGGTTAAGAGCCTTGCTCAAGAGCCCAGAGTGGGGCAAATGAGGGTGGAGGCAGGTGTGGGTGTTTTACCTTTCCCACTCACATTTTGATGTTGTTGGTACGGGGAGTTGAACCGGCGCCCTTCCGATCACAGGCCCACCTTCTCTAACCGCTGCGCCACCACTCCCATCTTAGGTTGTTTATTTAGCACAATGAAAACAAACTAGACAAAATAAATACAAATAAAATGCAGGAAGAGACAAAAAGCCGTTTTCCTGATAAAAGATTTTATTGCATTAAAATTAAACTCCACAACTTGTGCAAAATAAATGTTCGCATTTGCAGCAATTTGCATTGATTTGATTAAAATGTGAATTTTGTGGGTTTTGAAGTACGACTTCACAAATGTAACGGATGAGTCGACTAATTTCTGTAGAAATCAGGACTTGTGTTTTCCTCCGTAAACATCGTGCCGCCCTATAAATCACATCAGTCCAGATTTGTCTAATAAAGTGGAAAAAACCATAAACGCGTTGCTTCACCGTTTACGTCACATCTGTTGCGCGTCACCGCTGACGACCTGGAAATGTGGACCGGTGGTGTGCCAAAAAATGGATTGGCTGCCAAATGGCAGGGGCATGCACAGGAGGACTTTAACAAGAATTTAACAAGCTTAACATTTAAAAATAATTATTTGTTTGCTCAACATTGTAGCAAAGGTGCGTCTCATCTAACGTTTTCTTAATAAATGTGCTTTGACGGTCAAATCGGCTGCGTCTCATAAGCCGATACGTGGAAACAGGAAGGTGCAGAGGGGCAAGCCGTTGTGCATTTCTTCGAAATTTAACAAGATAAACACCTAAAACAATTATTTGTTTGCTCAACATTATAGTAAAGGCGTGTCTCGGTCTTTTCCTTAATAAATGCACTTTAATGGTCAAATCAGCTGCATGTCTCCGGGGCGGTGCAGCAAAATGAAGCTGACGACTGCTCATTAATAGACACTTTTACCTATTGCATGATACAACGGCTTGCCATACATCTCGAGTGCCATGTAGTGGCTGAAAATGGAGGGTTCAATATTTTCCGTCAGAATGAATGAAAACGGTTATATCTCTGTCAAAAATTGATTAATAAATATGAGCAAAAAATCCATAAATACGTCACTTGGGCGTAAAAGTTTCAGGGCATGTAAGTTATGCAAAAACCTGCAACTGATAGGGCAAAAGATGTTTGTTTGTTTTTGCACTTGTTAACTGTTAAAAGTTTTGTCTCCCTTTTTTGCTTCGTGTCTTTTTAATCAGGAGGGTCTAAAGAGCCACTCGTGGCTCGGGAGCCGTAGGTTGGAGACCCCTCCTTAAGATAGAAACAGTTTACTGCTTTAATGAGTCTTTACCGTCAGCCCTGTCTTCACTGTAAATTCTGTCCCACAGTTATTTGTGCGTTAAATGATTAGTTGGAACGAACGGTTGCCCTCCACTCCTGCGTGGGTTTTTCAGGACAGTTGTCTTTTGCTTGTTGTTCCAGGTGCAGGAGAAGTTGACGCAGAGGATGGGGAAGAAGAGCAAAGCGGCGCTGCTCGTCAGCAAGTCCAGTTATAAAGCTGCTTTCCAAACGCTCTGGTCGTCCAAAGGCGCCCGGAAGCCCATGATGGAGTTCTGGAGCAAACAGCTGAAGAACGAGGTGAGGGCGTCTGTCGGGACGAAACTCTTCAGGCGTGTTTGTTGGTTTCCTCACGCGTCTTGTGTTTGTGCGGGCGGCAGATGAAGGCGCTGTCGCGGCAGCCGGATAATCCTTTCCATCAGAAGGTGTCGGGCAGGAAGCCGCTGACCTACTTCCCCTGGAGGCAATGTCTGAACTGGGCCCAGGAGAAAGCTCCGCTCGTCGTCACCTGCCTGCGCTCCATGTTCCCCGACATCAACGCCCTCTACAAGAGCAGCCAGTAAGTCCGCGTGATCCCCCCTAGGGTAGCTGGGTCTGATCTGAGCCGGGTTTTTGGTTCTGAATCTGACCCGACGTTGGTCTGATTAGAATCTCCTCTTGGTTTGTCAGCCAGCTGTCGGAGGAGCAGGCCGTCATGCTGCTGGAGCGCCGCACCGTGGTGGCGCTCTCCATCCCGCTCTTCACCAGAAACATCTGGAGGAACAACTTCTTGCAGGCTGCTCTGGGGGCGGAGCTACGGCAGCAGGGCTGCTCTGGCTCCGCCCTCGACACGCTGAACACCATGGGTCTGTGTCAGAACAAAGACACGGTCCGGCTGCTGCTGCAGCGGCTGCGCAACGGCACAGACGTGAGTGACGGGTCAGCAGGTTTAAAAGACTTCTGTTACTTTATTTAACAACCAGAGGAAGTTGGAGTCCATTTGATTAAATTTGTAAATTCTTAAACATTTAAACTCATTAAATATATTTAATGATGTAAGCTCTTTGCTCTGATTGGTTTAAAAAACATTAAATATTAAAAACCGAGACTTGAACATGTGACTCTTTACTTTTGACTCCACTGTTAAAACCTTTAATTTGTTTCAGAAATGATAAGAACAGAGATGTTTCAAAGACGTTAGTGGAAGTTGTTTCGTCTTTATAATCTAAAATAATGTTTTTGTGTGAAATGCAAAAAAGAAAAGATTTGGTCACAAAAACAAACAAAAAAAAATCAGTGGATTAAAACTTCTAAGTTTGAAAATGATGAACATCCTGCAGATAAAACAATAATTTAACCTGTTTTTAGTACTACAGTGAAATCTTTATAACTTTAATGTTCAAAAATGTTTCTTTTGGATTTAATTTATGGAAGTTGTGGTTTTAGACCACAAGATGGCGCCAGATCTGCTGATCTGTTTTTTCTTTCATTTTAAACAGGACGGAGAGCTCATGATCAAACAGGACCAGATGGGAGAAGTAATAACAGATGAGGAGGAAGAAGAGGAGGATGAGGAGGAAGAAATTAGTGCATTAAAGGAGGAAGATGATGAGGAGGAAGAAATTTTGCTGGGAGTGGACGAAGAGGAAATGGAGCAGGAAGAAGTGCAAGACAGGCTTCAGGATGAAGAAGATCCGGCTCTGATGGAGAAAGAAGAGAAGAAGAGGAGGAAGAAGAAGGCTAAAAAGCAGCGGAAGCAGGAAAAGAGGAAGGCGAGGGGGAAGCGGAGGAAGATGGAGGAGGAGGAAGAGGAGGAGGATGACGATGAAGACGAGTCGGAGCAGAAGAAGAAGGTGGTGGTGGTCCGGCTCGGGCTGCTGAAGGGAACCTCAGAGGTGGGTCGATCTGACCTATCAGCTCCTTAAGACTCTGCAGGCCCTGTCTCTGAACTACAAGCTCCGCCTCCTCTGAGCACAGAGCTGCACAGAAGCCCCACCCCTTTCCAGGAGGATCAATAGCATTCTGGGAGTTGTGGGGCATCTGGAACTGGAGGAGACAAGTTTTTTATATTAAAAAGTGATCCGTGGAGATGAGTGATCACATGACGAACAACAAAGATCAGTTTTTTTTTTTTTTTTTTTTACATAAAATCCTGTAAAAGTTTCTAACAAACTTTGAACACTTACTGAAACACTTTGTGTTTGAACAAACGGTCAGGACAGAGATCTCTCTGCATTAGTCAGATTTCACTTTTCTGCTAAAAAACTATCAGGGTCTAATCCAGGTAAATGTTTTCACCTTTTTAACACTTCCATCACTTATAATTCAGTAAACGATCGACCATTTCTCATCAGATTAATACGTTTAAATCTGATGTTTCCTCTTTCTGAGAGGTGTTTGTTTTTTAATCTGGATGTTGCTCCGGTCTAAAAAGGTTTCCTGTCGGTCTCAGCTGGTTCAGGTGATGATCTTGTTCAGTTTCTCTGGAACCTGAGAAGTTTTTATTTTTCAGTTTCGGCTCCGTACGAAGGTCCGACTGCCGAGTTCAGGTCAGAAAACAAGTCCAGATTTATTCTGTTCACTGTGACGTCTCGGGTCGTTTCTGTTGACAAATGAAGATCTGTGATTGGTGTTTTTTTAGTTGAGGCACGGCGGGGTCAAAGAATCTGAAAGAAGCCGACAGAAGACCTAGTTTTTTCTGATATTAACTCTAATAAATAAGCATGAAATGTTTTTAAATCGTGGAAGACGTTCATGTTTGGTCTGCAGGACTTTTTAAATAAAAGGTATTTACAGTTATCATGCAGGAACCCCCCCCCGAAGGACAATAATTAAAAATGGAGCCTGATCTGTGACCTCAGGGGTTTCCTAACACGGAACAAAAATATAAACTCAACACTTTTGATTTTGCTCCAGTTTTTCATGATCTGAACTCAAACGATGTAAAACTTTTTTCTAAGAACACAAAAAGTCTTTTTCTCTTAAATATTGTTCACTTTGTGTAAATCTGTGTTGGTGAGATAATCCACCCACCTCTCAGGTGATGCTGATTAAACAGCATGGTTATTGCACAGGTGAGCCTTAGGGTGACCACAACAAAAGGCCACAGATGTTGGAGGTTTTGAGGGAGCGTGCAGTCGGCGTGCTGACTGCAGGAATGTCCATGTTCAGAGAATTTGGCACATCCAGCTGGTCTCACAACTGTAGACCACGTGTAACCACACCAGCCCGTGTTCATTGTCCAGAACATTCACCTGCCCATATCATGACTCCACCTCCACCATGTGCCACTTCATTCAGAACATTAAGCAAACTGCTCATCCACACAACGCCATATGTCTACCATCAGGGATGTGTGTCGAGCCCCCTCCTGTTCACTCTGCTCACGTATGATTGTGCAGCTACCCATCCAGGCTGTCACATTGTAAAGTTTGTAGATGATACAGCGGTGGTGGGATGCATCACAAACAATGATGAGTCCAGCTACAGGCAGGAGGTGGAACACCTGGAGAGCTGGTGCAGGAAGAACAACCTTAAGTGAAGGAGACGGTCGTGGACTTCTGACAAAACAACCCCCCCAACACAGGAGGATCTCCAGCTACAAGTATTTGGGTGTGCACCTGAACATAATCAGCTGGAGCAACAACACCACCAGCCTGATCAAGAAAGCTCATCAGAGACTCTACTTCCTCAGGGCTGAGACGAGCTGGTCTGGAAGCTCAGTCCTCACCTCCTTCTACAGGTGTGCAGTGGAGAGCATCCTGTGCTCCAGCATCAACGTGTGGCATGGAGGCTGCACAGCTGCAGAAAGAAAAGCTTTGCAGAGAGTGGTGAAGGCTGCACAGAAGATGTAGGAGTCAGCCTCCCCACCATCACAGACATCTACACCTCCAGATGTAGGAAGAGGGCCACCTGCATCATGAAGGACCACACTCACCCAGCACACACAATTTTTGCTCCCTTCAGGAAGGAGGTTGAGGAGCATTAAGTGTAGAACCACTAGACTGAGGAACAGCTTCTACCCTGAGGCTTTAACCAGGAGAATCACTGTGAAAAATCACGTTGCTGCTGATCTGTTTCATGTTGCTGCTGATCTGTTTCATGTTGCTGTGTTCATTCGTACTCATCTGCTCAGACTCATGTTCGTGCTGCTGTTTGGCACATTGTTTTTGTACTACTAGTGCTTACTGTATTCTTAGTTTAGCATATTTTAGTTCATATCTTCTATGAAGCCTTCCATCTAGAAGTCGGTTACGTCGATGAACTGCAGTCAGGTGGAGACCTCGAAGAGGACGAGCAGCAAACGAGCTTCCTGAGACGGTTCCTGACAGTTTCATTATGAAACCGATTGTTGCAGCAGCTGGTCTGAGGATCTTGGAGGTGAAGATGCTGGATGTGGAGGTCCTGGGCTCGTGTGGTTACACGGTGTCTGCTGTTGGATGTACTGCCAAATTCTCTGAAACCCCTTTGGAGACTTGTCGTAGAAAAAGGAACATTCTGAATTATTCTGTTCATTTTGGCAGATTTAATGTTTTACATCCTGAGTGTGTCCAAATCAGTTTTTAAGTTCCTCACGTTTTTGTTTTAATCATTTTGACATTAAAAACCATTCAGAGCTCTCCTGGTTTTTATTTTTTAATCAGACCCACATCACTCATTTACAATCAGGACCAGAAAAATTAAAATACTCAACCTGAGAGAGAAAAACAGCTGAGAGGGATGAACAGGTTTTATTTCTGTAACAGGAGTCGGAAACATCCACAGAGCTGCTACAATAAATATTCTGGACCCGCCGGTTCTTCACGGAGCGACCCGGTGAAAAGATGAGGGACAGAAGTCTGAACGGTCCAAAGTCTCAGAGAAACGACAACTGAGCTGCAGATGTTTAACGTCAGACAAGATGTTCAGAGTTTTAGCAGATAAAAAGATGAAATTAGGAACTTTAAACTTTATTCTAAGTTTTTGAGTCGGCTTTAAATAAATTAGCTGCAGTTGAGAAAACATTGAACCAGATTTTAATTCGCTTGTTGGGCAAAAATTTGTTATTGCTGACCTTCCACACGAGGACAGAGCAGCTTTTATTGTGAAAGGGAGGAAGTGCAGACAGTTTAACCTGGTCCGAGTTAAACATCGACCTGGAATCGTTACGTTAGAATTTCAGATGTTTCCACGCTCTCTCTCAGACGTTCAGGGTTTTCTTGACGGAGAAGATGATATCTTTGATCTGAGGAAGGCTGTTTTCCTCCAGGATTTTGGCGTACGGCATGGGGATGTCCACTCCCGTCACCCTGGTAACCGGGGCGTCTAGGTAGTTAAAGGCGGGACCTAAAAAAAAAAATAAAGGAGACAATCAAGAGTGTCAGGCTTTTTAAATCAATGCCATGAAAGGCAGGAGACAATGACCCGATTGAAAGAAAACACCTGAGACCATTCATCTTCGTCACAGGTGACTTCCTCCACCCTTTCCATCTTCTATCAGTTTGTCAAATGCACAAGAAACCACGAGGCCTCAGATCGGCTGTATGCAAATGTCAAGAATGCAGCCAGCTCCGCTGCCCTCAGTCCACTGGGCACATCAGTTTGGACCTGGAATCCCCATCATACAAGTCGTAATCATCTACAGTGAGATCAAGGTTCAGTAATCCAGGTAAAAATATCCAACAATGTTCAGTCAGAACATTTGGACAGTTTTTGTTGGGAGACACCCTCCATCTGAAGGACTTCATCAGTCTGAGAAGTCACAAACAAACTGTGTTCCCCACTAAGCAGTACACTCCTACAGTGGACCAACCAGTTCGCTGGTGATAAGATGGTTTCTGCGGACCGTCCTCTCCTCCCAGGCCGGCAGCCACAGTGGTTCAAGACATCAACTACTCGTCTACAGTGAGGACTGAGGAAATGGTCTCCTGAGGCTACGGAGTCACTGCATCATTTCACCGAGTATGATCACATCGGGTTCTGCACGAACAACTCCATCGCTACCAGCGAGGTCCGCTGCTTTCAGCACAATACACAGTGGGTTACCAGAGACATGAAAGCCCGACTCAACAAGAAAACGAGGGTCTTTAAGTCAGGGGACTGAGCAGAATCAAGAGGGTACAGAAAGACTTCACCACTTGCTCTTGCCGAGGTCAGACGCTTTTCCCTTCCCCTCCCTCTCCGCTTTGCTGCTCTGTCTGTCTGTGAAACTGCTTCTGAGCCTCTCTTGCATGTCTTCCGAACCATATTTATGGACTGGATTTGATCAGTTGGTTCCTCAACATAATCTATAACATTTCTTCAAAGAGAAGACAGGCTCTAGGCGAGCCGATTTGCCCTGTTGGCACGCACGCAGCTGGATATCTCATCGACTTGAAGACTTTATGATGAGTCCATCTCTGCAGCCATTTGTGGATTTTAAGGACATATATTTAATTGGATTTACGATAACTGGTTCCTGCATTTTGGATTTGGCTGGTTGCTGGTTTTATCTACAATCAAGGAAGTCGTCGGCAGCAAATTGGGACCCGATCACTCTGCTTGTCTTTATGATGGCTTGGTTCGTGCCTCGAGTACCCAGACTCAAATGCTTTGGGCAGAATGGATCAGATCTCAGAGATTTTACTCAGTCACGTTCCATCTGTGTGGCCATGTAATTTGGACATTTCGGAACCGTTTGGACCAACACAGACTCAAGGTAGATGCCATTAAGTTCTGCCCGTCCCCAAAACAACTTTGTGTTTATCTGAATTTGGCTCCCTGGCTGGCCTTGAAGGCCACCTTATCTGAATTTGCCTGGAGAACATGTGATCTGACGCTTATCTCAGGACTTCAGGAGGGATAAGCCCACACATCTCCAGTCTGCGTCAGTGGTACAGATGTGGAGGTGGCGACTCTCTGGACAAACTGGAGTGGTCCACCAACGTGAATGCAGTGCACAGGAAGCGCATGAGTCAAATACTTCCTGAGGAGGCTCAGATCATATGGAGTCTGCAACACGATGCTCCAGATCTTCTATCAGTCTGTAGTGTCCATCTTCTTTCTTTGCTGCGGTGTGTGTGTGTGTGTGTGTGTGTGTGTGTGTGTGTGTGTGGGGGGGGGGTCAAAGCAAAAGACAGCAACGGACTGAAAAAACTCATCAGGAAGGCAGAGTCTGCTGTGGGCTCAAAGCTTGTCCCTCTGGAGGAGGTGACTGAGAACAACATGCTGGCTACCATCATGGACAACCAGCCACTTCTGAGCCACAAGAGTGTTTAAAAAAACTTAAACTTAGACTTAGACTACAAAACACCCGAGCACACGGCCATGATTACCCTGATGACGTCACACCAGGGACTGGGCACAGACAGAGTTGCATTCAGGCCCAAAAAAATCTGACCCGGCCCAACACGTAGCCATCATTTCTGAACCGATCCCACCCGACATATTAACAGTAATTACAGGGCTGCGCAGGTGTGTGTGTTCACAGACGCGTGTGTGTGTGTGTTCACAGACGGGTG